TTTTCCTACTCTCAAATGACGTTCTTCATGCAGACCCGTATCTCCGTTTCCCTTGTGAAAGCTACCCATTTATGTCTTTGTGGATCCCCCAAAGCTAAACCCTTTGTGAAACAAAAAGGTATGACATAATATTATCTACACGTACTCCAGTCGAACGAAATAAATGCCTCCATTTTGCGAAGACAATCATTCTGCAAAAGGGTTAAGGATTGCACTGTTCAAAAAAGTTGTTAAGCCCTTCTCGAATGTCACATAGATCATCCCGCAAGACACCGTAAGTCACATAGGCACAGACACTCATCAGCAAGAGAGTGGACAGGGGAACAGCGTTTAGTTAGAGGATCGAGCAGATTTAAAGCACTATTGCAGTACCCCTGGGTTCGGTATGTGAGTACATATTAACCTTTGTTTTAAGATCACATGGTGTATTGCTCTTGAGATGCAAAGTATTGACACCACCGTCAGTAAGAGTTTGTTGCTCTATTAATTAATTAAATACTAGTACTTACTTGTATCATACTGGTACCATTATCGGTGACTCGACTGTCACTCAAGCAAGTGAGCGAGGGAATGAATGTCGACAAATTAGAGATGGTGGGCAGCCTGTCCGATCATCCAGGAGGGAAGGGGTTAGATTTGAAGCATGCGAAGCACTTTCTTGATGTCTGATCATAGTACCAGGTACCAGGTGCCACTGTATTTCTTGCCAACAACCACATTGTTTCTAGCATGACTGGAGACTAAAATTTCCTGAAATCATAGATACTGGAGAGATACCGTAATACCTTCCCAACAAGAGATGAAACCATGGCATTTTCTAACCCAAACTCCTCTTTGGAAACAAGTGCTAACTAAGTTGGATTCCCGAAGAACCACTTCATCTTACCAATCAAAGGGCAGGCCAAGCTATACAAGATGAGGAATAGGGTGGAACTTTTCCTCAGTACCACCTTCCTAGTAGCAGGAGTAGCAAGATTCTTCCGCACCAGTGCCGATCAGGAGTGGAGCCGAAATTGCCACAGACAATGTGGCAAAGGATTGAGATGGAACGGTATCTAATATTCAAGGTAGAAGTACTCGCGTACCGCTTACTGAATCATGTGAAAGCGGTTTTCAATCCCAGCACCAGTTGCGCTAGTATGGGTTACCTTACAATACCGTACTAAACTAGTACGTGTACCGCTGGTACTTCCCTACGTGCTGGCTCTTTTTGCTCTGTTCCTTCGCTTTGGAAAGGGGAGCCCAAAGTAATCTGGAGCAGACACGATGCTGCTTGGTTGACGGTTGACCAAAGCAGCACACAGGACAGAGGATGCCACCACCATCGCTTCACAAAGAGCGCTCTCTTCAGCTAACCATTATCTAATCAACTCAAATCGAAGCGAAGCCACCATGACTTCGACTCCCTCCCGAATCCGCTACCGAGACGATGGAAGTCGCTATGGCAAGTTGCTGGCAGTGAAGAGCTACTCCAACCGTGATCCTGTAGTTCTAAAAGACTTTGTGGTCGGGGTAGACATTGTTTCCTTCTTGGCATGGAAGCATGTGCAAGAGAGGAATGGGGTCGTGGTATCATCACTCCCATCGAGGCTAGAGGGATGTGATTTCCATTGGGGTATTGAAATGAGAGATGATCAGTCATCCGCAAATCAGGGCGTTCGACAGCTCGTGGCAGCCACCACCAATACTACTTCTACTCCGAGACCATCGTCCGTCACGAGCCACACTCGACCGACCAATCCTCCTGAACTGACCCCAAATAATAATGGCTATTGGACGCTACCACAGCACACGGCAAACCACAACAATAACGACTACTGGACAATTCCACAAGGACAGCGTCCTGTCATCAATCGAACCCTTGAACCTCCAAGAGCACAAGTCAACGACTATTGGACTCTTCCACAAAGTGAAACACGAGGCCGGTACCAAGATAGGCAACTACTGACTACAATCACCATTATTGATCATCCAGACCTCCATCCTTCCAGTGTGGCTCCCAGTGCGGCTCCCCAACAACAACAACAAGTAGACGAATCAGACTCCGTGGAGGCACCACCACCACAACCACCAGCAGAAGAGTGGCTATTCCCATTTGCCCTGACAGGGCCGACACGATCCAACATTGCCCACCCCCTCTCCACTCTGGGATCGGCCTACGAAATACCCTTGGTCAGTGGCGCCGCCACGAGTGCCGCACTCGACAGCATCCCCTTTTTGCGCAGACCATCCCACCAAGCAGCCGATGCCCGCGCCATATGGTTACTTTCATTCCATTGGGGTGACCCACTGTGCCAATCTATTCAGCCAAGATGCCTGGGGACGGACCTACAATACCGATCTACGACGAGAAGCCAAGGCATTGGGGATTACCATGGTCAGCTTTGGGTACGACACCAATGAGGAAGATATTGAGGCCACATTGGAACAGCTCAAACAAAGTGGGATGCGGTATATTTATGCCATTATCAAATTTGATTGGGAATTCGTTTTGGAGACGGCCTATCAAAAGGGGATTATTGGGACAGATCAACATGTGTGGATTGGGGCCGAAGCTACCGACTGGACGGATGATGGGTTGGAATTGTCACGACACCCTGGCAATAGTACGCGAGAATACATGCTCACGCAAGCGCTCAATGGAGTGGGGTCCTTGTCCATTTACGTGGAAGAGAGTACGCTCCTGAATGCGGCCATGGAGGACTTTCTGCACAACACAGAACTGCAACAGGAATATGTCAATGCGCATCCGGAAGCCTTTATCTTTCAAAACTACTCGTTTGCCGAGTCGGTCAACCCCAGTGCTTCCTTTTACCATCAAATGTTCTATGATGCCACCTACAGTATTGGATTGGCTGCTTGCAATACGCCGGGACTCTTCACCGGGAGTGAACTCTACGAGACATTGGTCAATCTGCAGTTTGAAGGGGTCACTGGGAATATTACATTTGATCCAATCACAGGAACGAGGAGCCCTGACAGTGTCAAGTTTCGTGTGGACAATGTGTTTTTGAGCGATGAACGGTCCGATGAAAACTATACCCGGTTCGAGACCAAGCTCGCAGCCATTGTAGTCAGTGGACAAGTCGAACACGAGCATCGTTTCATTTACCACGACAATACAACAATTCCACCTCCGTCGATTGAACCTGTGGAGCATGCTTACAATTTGATTCCAAGTGGTGCAAAGGTTGTTGGCGGGCTCATGGGTGCTGCGGTGATGTTTGCAAGTGTCGCAATCTGCTTTTGGACTTGGTATTATCGAAATACCTTTGTCGTGAGGGCTAGTCAGCCGGTGTTCTTGGGTACTATTTGTTTGGGGACGTTCATCATGGCCGCCGCATCGATTCCCATGGGGATGCAGGGAACAGAGGAAAGTCGGGGCCTCGATGCGGCATGTATGGCGACTGTTTGGATGGTTTTCCTTGGCTTTGTGATTACACTCAGCGCACTCTTCTCCAAGACTTGGAGGATGAACCAAATCATGCAATCGGGAGTCTCCATGCGACGAATTGAGGTACACATAGTCGATGTTATGTGGCCTTTTGTGACTTTGATGACGCTCAATGTGAGCCTGCTGGTTGCGTGGACTGTCGTCGCTCCGTTTACCTATGTCAGGACGGATGGTAACGACTACGACTCTTACGGACGAAGTCTGGAATCGTATGGGCATTGTACGGCGGAAAGCAACAATTTCCTTTTCTTCTTTATTCCCCTTGTGGTGGTTGATTTCATGATGGTCGCCGTTGCAACTTACCAAAGCTACATTGCTCGCAAGCTGCCTACAGAGTTTTCCGAATCAAGCTATTTGGCCTTGAGCATGGGGTGCCTGACGGAAACGTTGGCACTCGGTGGGCCGATCCTTTTTGCTGCTTCCAGCTCTCCAACGACGTTCTACGTGATTTTCTCCTTGCTGCTTTTCACAACAAATCTGACCATCCTACTACCAGTCTTTGTGCCAAAGTACCTGCACCGAAACGCACAGAGTCGAACAGTTTTACGTGGAACAATGCATAACCTCCAGAGTCGAAGTGTTGCACGGCACAGTGCCAATCAAAACGCATTGCCTCGGGGACGTCAAAGCATTGTGCGACACGGGGCCAATGTTAGCTCGTCAAACAGTCGTGTGAGTGCTACCTTCAACGGCTTCAATCAAGTCAACGTTTCATTTCAAGATGTTACACCCTCGTGGGGTGGATTTCAACTGTCCAGGCTGACGTCATATGTTGAAGAGCCGACACACCTTCAATCGGTAGTGGAGGAGTGATTTCGCGGTGGGAAACCTTGCTCGTCATCGACAACTGCTGCAGGACACACGACGATGGAGCAGGACCATCAGGCAACCAGGTTTGCACCGCCTGGTGCCTCAATTACGATGGGTGGGCAATCTCATCTCTCGGCCATGTGCTGCATGTTTGGTCAACGCGAGTACTGCAGCCCTGCGTGCATTGCGCCCTGTGGTGAATCTTTGGATTTTTCTCCCATCGGTCACTCTCTGCTGACCCCTTGCCCTGTGTCCAAGCTTGGCTGACCAAGAAGCGAAGGAGGAAGTGGGCAAGGGTCTAGTACGCTGCAACTGCCGATATCTAGAAAGCGTAACAACAGCATTGCCACATTGTTTCCATCGACCTCCCGTATACCGGTAATCGCGAAGTCGTCTAATAAACTTTGTTAGATGTCGCTGAATGTTGCTTTCCCGTTACCCCTTGTGCTTCTGTTGCTTTGTTGTACCCCTTCTTCTGCCTGCTGAGCAAGGTGGAGGAAAAGTCTTTTGTCGAGATGAGTGGTTCTCACAGAAGACTCGACCCTGATTTTGATCTACGAATGGCTAACCAAGTGAATTCCATGACCATGGATGTAACCTATCTGGGTCATGCCTGGTTTGGTTTTGGAATCAATTGAAATGGGCAAATGGTAGGCTCTACCGTGGTAGTGGGATGTCTAAACAATTCAGACGATGCTATAGTAGCAACGAAAGAGCTGCCATGAGAGCGGAGAGATACTATCTAGAGCTATGAGCCAAGAACCTGTACCGGTACAGGATTAAGCATCTTGAGCACAGCACGATCACCCGAAACCAGCAACGCTCCCCCTTTTAAGATGCTCTGCTGGTTTCTATTATGCATTCCCACGAGCAAGCTGGACACAGCTTCTTGCTCCAAGACGGAACATCTTCCACTTCTGCTGTTGCTTGCTTGGAACTTGGAAGCAGAAGGATGATGAACAACTGACGATCTTGCAACCACATGTGACCTACGTCAACACAAGAAAGACACGGTCATCATGGTTTCTTTCTTCGGGTCGAACGTCAAGAGAAAGAGACCAATGAGAAGTCAATTGCAGAGATGCCGAGCAGAACGCAATTCTTAAAGATACCTTGTCCATGTTTCGGACAAGTCCAACGTATTTTGGTCACAATATTGCAAAACTCTGCCATCCCCCAAGCAGTTCATTGAGTTTGTTATTGGCCGACCACAGCCACAGATCCCATTGTATTGGACTCCAAAGCCAATAATACCAAGCCTCTGCATCCACTTTCCTAGCCAGATAGCTAGTACTATTTTGCTTCAAGGAAACCACCAAGCATAGCGGAACATGATTCTGGAGATCTTCAAGGCATCGATCCATTCGGTGGGGACGGCCATCACCATGACGGCCGCGGGAGTTTATCTGCATCGTCGAGGCATGATCACGAGTGAAACCAAGACAGGCATGGCCCGTTATACCCAACAGATTGCCATTCCAGCCCTCTTCTTTACCAAGATTGTGGACTGTCCGCAAAACTTTTCTCATGATCAGTGTCCCAACATTTTGTCTCATTTGGGCGACGCTTGGGTCTTGCTGGTGTGGCCCATCTATGTGCTGGGAGTGGGGTTGTTGGTGGGGTACATCATGATCAAAATTGTCCAACCACCCAAATGGCAGCACAATTGCGTGCTGGCTGCAACTGCCTTTGCCAATGCCATGGGAATGCCCATTACGCTGTTGGATGTGATTGGCCACAATTTTGTTCCTCCTGGTCCCATCAACCACAATCTTGATCCCACTCGATTTCAATCCATCTATGTTATTTTGAACCCAGGTAAGTAGAGTAGCATCGGCTACTTACAGGTAGTTTTGTCATTGGGATTATCTCACGGTATATTCTTTGTTTCTGGCCTTTGTTAGTCTTGCAATGGGGACTTGGGGGATGGCTGCTCAGTAAGGATGAAGAGGAAGAGTACGAACTACAACCTGGGAAACAAGAGTCCTTCCGAGCGAATGATACCATGGTCCCCATTGTGGATCCTGCGGATATTTCGTTTGGAGGAAAACTGAATTCCTTCCGCAATCGCAGAAAGATCTTGTCGTTTATATCCTTGGAGGAAGCTGGCTATGCCTCGGAAAGCACCCCACCTTCAGGCGTTCCAACAGTCAATGAAGACGACAATGTCGGACTGGAAGAAGCAGGTTATACCACGGAGGAAAGCACTCCACTGCAACAAAGTCGCGGCATGAAAGAGCCAACCTACACAGAGGAGGATGAATTGATGAGCAAAGATGGTGAAAGCTACGGCAGTTCCTGGCAAGAAACAGAGGAAGAACTTGGCGCCCAAATTCCACCTCCCATTGCTCCACCAGCCAAACGTCAATCATCTCGTGTTGTTGTTGTCAAGCACCAACCACCAGAAGGAGAATTGTGGCGAATTCTCAAAAAGATTGCCTCGAAGGCAATGCAGCCACCGGCGATTGGTGCCATTTTGGGGTTTCTGGTGGCCAGCTATGCTCCGCTCCGAGGTCTCTTTGTCGACATGGAACATCGCGCGGACAATGCACCTCTGGAATGGATCTTTGATGGTGTCTTGACGCTAGCCGAATCCGCCATTCCAGTGAACATGTGTGTGGTAGGTGTCAACTTGGACATTGCCTCTCAACGAAAGATTTCCCCCAGCGGTCAGAATGGAGCCAGTGCCAAGACGATCGCTGCTGTGGTTCTTGGCAAAATGTTGATCATGCCCATCATTGGGATTACCACGGTTTGGATATTGAAGACCTACTTTTGGGACATTCCGCAGGACATCCAATTTCAGTTCTATCTGGTACTCGCGATGAATTTTATTACCCCGACTGCCAACGTGGTAATGGTGATTGCAGAATTGGGGTCGGGGCCAGACTCGAAGAATGTCATGGCCTCGCTCATTGGCTGGCAATACGTTGCGGCACCCTTTTTGCTGTCCTTGACTGTCATGCTGGTGGTTTGGGTTGCAGTGATGTAGCGGGGAGCCCTGACGGACAAAAAAGGAAAGATTGGACTTCTAACACGGAAAGAGGCAGCTGATGGCTGTCGTGGTCAAACGGCAATGGGATTGCTCTGCAATATCAAACCCACTGGAATCTAGCTGCAGGTCGCAGACCTATCCGTGCTGCTCTGGAAGTCAGCTCTGGATTGTTCAAAAGACAATCTTCCCAACTCTATTGAGACGAACCACATCCGAGACGGCGTCAGTGGATGCATAGCAGAGCGACCACGGCTGCAACTCTATAGATGATGTATTGTGTGTAGTAGTTGATTTGAACTTCAAGGCAGCGTGTACTAGGATGTTGCTGACACCAAGTTGCAAGTATGCTAGAGATGCTCAAACATGAGACGTGATGGGAACGCTGCGTTCCAGAAACCAGCACAGAAGCATTCCTTTGTCTTCTCTCCTACTACCAGGCAGGTAGTGGCTAGCTGCTTCTCAGCAAAGGATTCGATTCTCTTCCCGCTCAATTCCTAACAAATGATGATTCAATCTGTAGACTAGCTATAGTTTTGGTACCAGTGCCCGTGCCGGAGCCCCGACCTTCGCATTTACCGTCTACCCGAGCTCCTTTGGAAAGAAAAATGAAAGGGAGTTCCTAACTCCTGGTCTTGCACATGGGCCGAGCGGGCTGTCCTGCGCACAAAGTAAGAAAAACACATTTGTGCACAAGTCGGTCTGTTTGAAGGCTTTTTGTTTTCGAGACTCTGTAAAAGGGGCTACCGCGGTACCGGTACCGGCAGTAGATTTACCTGCGAGATACTCGAGGAGGGAGCTACCCAATTCAAAAGTGCCCCCAAGTTGATCTATGGGAAATGGCAGAGACCTTTTTTATACCAGCAATGGCTTTGTCTACTACTTGATCCCAACTTGCTCCAAGAAATGACGATGGTATTTCAGCACCGTTTGCATTGGAAAGGGAGGTCTAGAAGAGGGAAGCTATCTACAGAAGCCAGCAGGGGCCAGCCAGGCTCCCACCTCCTTGACGCTACTCCAGCCCAACTGTCAGTGCAAAACCAATCCATAGATGGGTTTGATGGTTGGTCGCTCAACAATGCCACGCTATATATTTGGCCAAAGGAGCGAGGACGCCACTGAGGCAGACATTCTGCCCTCTCCAGCTAGCCAGATCGGGACTTGCCGACTTGCAGACTGTGAGTTCCAAATATTACCACAAGACCTACGACTGTACTGCAGAGGGGAGCAAAGGTGCTGTTGATGAAACCATGAAAGCGAGAGTTCAGAAGTTCAGAAGCTCCGAGCTTTCAGGGGTACCAAGTACTAGTATTACTAGTAGCCCCAAACTGGAATCGCGGCATAAACAGTCCCGCATTGTTGTTCCAGGTACCAGGGGCCATATGTCATTATGTCAACATGTCGACAAAGAGGCAATGGAAAGAGCGAGGATCCCGGCAGGAGCAGCCGCGGAGCAACAGCAATGAGCACGAACGTTTTGTCAGTACGTATACGTTATGCAACGTGGTTTTGAGTCATCAGCACAGCAGCACAGCACAGCTACAGCATCAAGATGCTGTGCCACTCCCACCCAGCACCCACCTACCGGTAGCTAGCTAGCTAGTCGGCGAATTTTAGTGCCATTCGGCAAAATTTCATCAACTGTTTCGACAGAGGAGTCAAGGGGCAATATGTCGTTTTACCGCAAGAGGCATTCATGTTTCTGTCCTTATAATGCCTGGAAACTCTAGCTAGAGAAATATCAATACCTTATCAATTTTACCCACTGAGTTGTCCATGACCGCTTGAGCCCCTCTAGAGTCTTCGTCCAGCTTTCGAACTAATCATCGTAAAAAGTAAACAGCTGGGGCCGTCATTGAATTAACATCCATGC